TTCTACCCCCAGCCCTCTTTGGGTAGTTTTGATTGTGAATATTTTTATGGAACAAAATTACACATCTATTAATACAAAGCTGGGTCCATAAGTATTCATTTCATTAGGAAGACTTCCTTCCCAAATGATAAAATTTATCAAATAGAGAAAATTTTTGAGAGTAAAAATGTTTACTTTTCAGAAAGGGACACAACTTCAAACAGGGAAGGTACAACGCTGTAGGAATCGTAAACTCAGAAGCACTGGCTTTATCTCATCCCTAAGATTGTATTTACACTGCAGTGGGTTGGAACCCAGAACCCCTCCCTTTATCTCCCACAGAGCTTTTAGGAAGCAGTTTCCTTCCTGTCTCTTTAGGGGAGAGGGCAGAGCTGCCCTTGTGCAGCACAAACTCCAAAGTTCATATTTCTGGCTGCTTCTCCAGCAGTCCAACCTGGTACCTCAGGCTGGTCCATCCATCCCTCATTGTGCTGCCCATAAAGGAGAAGTTTCCCGATAGGAGGACCGATGAGGCTATTGCTGTGAAATGAACTGTAAGAACAGTTCATCTCCGTCTCAGAAACCTCATGCCTTCTTCCAGAAGGATACAGATCAATGTAGACATTGCAAACTTTTCAGTACTTTTGCCCCATTTCCCACAGTGGCTTTTGATGGAGAAGTTAACGCCAATATGAAAAGTTTTCAAGAAGCTTCTCAAACTCTTAGACAAGACGAATGAATGAAAAATCATGCACACACACACACACATGCACAAGCACACATAGGAGGGAGAGGGAGAAGGAGGAGGAGGGTGCTGCACAGGAGCGGGCAGGGAAGAAAGCCTGATACATTTCAGGGGAGTGTTTGGAAAGATTCAGTTGTCCACTTTGGCTTCTCAAAAAAATTATGTGTTCTTTGACAGTAAAAATAAAGAAGAATTAGATGGTGGAAAGCACAATTAATATTACACCTTCTAGCACATGCTATTTTTGGTCATTAATCAGTTTGAAATGTATAGTATTTGCAAGCTTTATTGTTCATATTACAGAACATGTTCAACAATTCATAATATAAATAAATTGCTTCTCTTTTAAACCTTATAATTTCTTGAATCCTTTAACATTAGAGATTTTAGGTCTTTTTAACATCTTAAAGGTTTTTTTTTCTCATGGAACTTGGTTCTTAAAAAATTGAGATCCTTTAATCCAATATTTACATATTTGGGAGAACTGTATCTGAGACATTCCTACTCTAATGTTGTGCAATGTTCCATTGCTCTTTATACTTTTTAACCTGTGATCCTTTGACATCAGGTTTTGGCTCCTAAAAAGTAGATAAAAGTGATATAAATCACACTTCAAAGAGTGAAGAAATGGGCCTGCTTTCAGGAAAAGAAAGAGCACATATAGGAAATGTCATATACTGTCCCACACATTTTGATTGCCTATTTTTTCCTCTAAATAGATTCCTGGTAATTCTTCAAGGGTAAATAATATTAATAATAAATAAATTAAAAAAATAGCAAATAAAGCAGAAGACATTTAGTTCCTTTTTTAAAAAAAGCCATCATTTAATGTTCACCAAATGGCTCTCAGTTTGATGAGAAACACATAGGTATAATTGAAAAATGGAGCCGGGCATAGTGGCACACGTGTGTAATCCTGACACTTGGGAGGCTGAGGCAGGAGGATTGTTATGAGTTCGAGACCAACCTGGGGTACAAAATGAGCTCAAGGCCAGCTTGAACTGCATAGTGAAACCCTGTTTCAAAAACAAAAACAAACAAACAAAATAATTGAAAAATGGTAGTTAGGTACAACAATGTAGTTTTGGTTACCACTTCATTTTTTAACTTACACTTTCCACAATATATCATTAATCAGGCATGTAGTAGGGACTATGATAAAACCCAGCCAGAAGTATGGACAAGTCAGGATCATATTGGCCTGCAAGTAAACAGAGAACAATTATGGAACATTCTTTCAATTTTTTAATATTAAGGATCAGGGTAGCTTTCTCTTTCCTCCCCCTCATCACGACAGGAGGTGCCAGACAAGACGTGGAGACAGTGTGAAACTAAAACCATTAAACCAGGTGCAGATGCCCAGCAATACCACCAGCTAATTTAACAGTATATCCTACAATCAAATAGAAAATATAATTAAGTTGGCTTCTACTCCAGGAATCCAAGGATGGTTCAATATTATATAAGTTAGCAGTGCAACTTTAACTGCTAGATATTATCTTTTAAACAATTGTGCTATTATATCCTCCCAAGAGAATTCACTCTTCCCTTTGCCTCACACATTAGTTGGTGGCTGATCATTTTCCATCAGGGACAGTACTGATTTGAGACTGGGTAAGCCTGCCCCTATCTGCAGGGTTATTTTTTGACTGAATGCCTAGTGTTCTTTGATTCTGTGCTAGAGGCAGGTCTCAAACTCTGTTTGTCTCCTGATTCTGCTCAGTACTCTGTTCTTTAGAGCCTTCCTTCTGTTTTAGCTTCCTACCTCCTGCCATCTCAGTCTGCCAAATGAACTGAGGGGAAAACATACTGAGTGCATGAACCACCCCTCAATTATCTGCCGAAACCTCTGCATGACATCTATCTCTGTCATGTTAAGGTAGCTGTATTTCTTTGTGGATTTTTTCATGTATACAAATTTATTAATTTGTTAATGGAGTTGTTAGTAATATCCTCTTGTAATATTTATCATGCTTATATTAATTTGAGTCAGCTACAAAGAAGACACCAAAAGGTTTACATGAGCAAGAGATCCATTAGAAGAGGGAGGAGAGGGCAAAGGAGGCCTTCAGACCAGGTTGCCCACCTGACATGTATGGAAGGAGAGAGGGCTGGAAGATGGCTGGTGTAGGAGGAATATGGGATCATAGCACAGTACCAAAAAAGCTTAGTTCCTCTGATGGGAAGTCCTCCCTCAAAGTCACCCACTGGAGGAGAAGTTGGGTTCACTAGAAAAGACCTACATTAGTACCTCTATGTCAGTACTAACATAAGTATAGAATCAAAGAACACACTAGGTATTCAGCCAAAAAATAACACTGGAGGGCAAAGGGAAAGCTGGAGACAGAGGGAAGCTTACCCAGAAGTTGGTTTCACCAGCAAAGATGTGCAAACAATAGCACCTCAGTTACAACCTGTGGGAAGGAAGCCTTCGGTGTGAACAAAGGGGTGACTCCAGAGGGGTAGGAGCTGGGCTGGAACTCAGTCATGTGCCTCAGAGCTGCCACACTGTCTGATGCTGGTAATGGTATTTTCTCTCCCTCTTTTTTTTTCTTTCTCAGTAGTCTTGTAAGAGGTTTATTGATTTCTATTAAACTTTTCAAGGAATCAACTCTGGTATTTGTTAATTTTCTCCATTAGCTAATGTTTCCCATTTTATTGATCTCTTGCCATTATTTCCTGTTTCTATTTTTCTGAAATTTGATTATTCTTTGTCTATTTGAGCCTAGAAGGTCAAGTCATTGGTTTCTTTAAGGCAGTCTTCCAATACATACACTTAAAACTGTAATTTTTCTGTATAACAAATAATTTATTTCAACATTTACAGTTGATTACATACTTCTATCTGGGTCTTTGCCAAATGTACCTGTTTCTTCTCTTTCAGTGTCCTGTTAAGTTTTCATATTTTCTTTCATTTTAAAAAATTATTTTAATTATTAGTTTTCAGATTGCTCTTTAAATTCTAGTTCTTCTGAAACATATTTTTCTACTATTCATTATGTTTTGAGTGTCTAAAGAACCCTCATATCTTCAGCAGACAGATTTTCTTCTGTGGGAGTAAACTGCCTGAATGAGTAAAGCCCCATGGATTGTTTGGTTTTGGACAGAGCCCAACATGTTTAACCAAAACTTAGATGAGTTTTAGTGTTATTATATTTGCTTGAGGTTCCTGCAGTTTAAGTATTCATGTGGTAAAGCCTGGGGGAGTGTTTTATTCAGCATGTATTTTTAGTATGTGTGTTCTTTTCTGTTCAGACTTATGTTACTGGAAATTCCACACTGATAAGTAGTAAGGACCAAGTTTAAGATGGATAAGGACTAGAGAAGTCAGATAAGAGGCATAAGTACAATACCAAAAATCTTATGTAATAAGGAGATGAAGAAGTGAGTAAATAGAATAATGAGAGAGAAACAGAGAGATAGATAGATAAATAGAGAGAGAGAGAGAGATTGAGTTCTCACTGCATTTGACTGTAAGTGATTAACTGAAATTCTGCAAAGTCAATTTTAGAAAACTGATAAATGCAATAACCAGATTTTAGTGGTTTAGGTAAAAACAGGACTTGGTTTAAGTAAAATAGAAGGTGTGGGCAGAAAGCAGACTTTTACAAAATATTTATTAGAAAGTAAGGAGAGCAATCAGATGTAGGTAGAAAACAAAGTACATTTTGTCAGGTATGCATTTTGGGATTGAAAACACCTGATAAAACATCAACAGAGAGACATTATTAAAGCCCTAACTTGGTCTTGTCCTAATTGCTTATCTCTTCAGCTTTTACATATACATGTTGATAATTTCTACCCTATCCACATTTTGGAAAAGATCAACTTATAAAATAGTAGTACAGTTTCCCTTCATAGTCTGGATCAATCACAACAGTGTAATTTCCTTTTTAGCTTATTGACTCAAAAGCAAGAGGATCCCAGAATAACCAAGGGGAAGTCTTAGTTTTCAGTTCATTGAAATCACCATTGTGCCTCCTGGTAGAATCCTTTCTCCCTCTGAATCTAAGGAGCCTAGGCCAACAGAGCATAAGGTCAGAGGAAGAGAAAGCAAAAACTTCGCAGGTGGGTCACTAAGTACCACTCCCATTTCCACCTCTTAATTTCTAGAGCTATGAATCTTGGATATGCAAGAAACAGCACCATATACTGGACGCTGATTCAGAGGGCATATAGCCTTCTGAAGAACCATATTCAAGCCTTGCACCTTCAAAATCCCACTCCATTGTTCTGTCAACCATCTGTGTCTGGATGATGGGAAAACCAGTGAGTTCCATGAGCAGGAGCCCCTTGCCACACTTCTTGGTAGTGAAGTGGATTCCTTGGTCAGTGCAATGCTGCCTGGAATACCATGACGGTGGTTAAGGCATTTTGTAGGTCTGTAGATGGAAGTTCTGGCAGAAGCATTACACACAGTGAAGGTAAATCCATGCTCTGAATAAGTCTCTACACCAATAAAGACAAAGTACTGTTCCTTTCATGATGGAAGTGGTCCAGTATAATCAACCTGCCACAAAATCACAGGCTGATCACTCTGAGGAATGGTGCCATGTTAGGGCTTAATGTTGCTCTCTGCTGTTGGAGATTGGGTACTCAGTAGTGGCTGTAGCCAGCTCAGCCTTTGTAAGTGGAAGTCTGTGTTGCTGAGCCCGTGAAAAACCTCCATCTTTGCCACTATGGCCACTTTGTTCATGAACCTATTGGACAGTGACAGTAGTGACTGAGGAAAGAGATTGACTGCTACCACAGAACTCATCATCCTACCTGCTTGATTGTTGAAATCCTGTTCTGCTGAGGTCACCTTTTGTTGAGCATTTGTGTAGGACAAAAATATCTTCATATTCTTTGCCTGTATGAAAAGGCCTATCCACATACCTTTTCCCCAAACATCTTTTTCATCAATTTTTAAATCACATTCCTTCCAAGTCCCTAACTATACTGCCAGACCACATTGGGGTTACAGCCCATGAATGGGTATATAGTTGCATATCTGGCCATTTTTTTTCTCCCAAATAAAATGTAAAATGAAGTATACTGCCCAAAGTTCTCCTCACTGTGAACATTTTCCTTCACCACTATCCTTCAAGGATGGTTGGTTCCTTCTTAGTGTCATGGATCACTTCAGCAGTCACACCACCTTTGGCCCCAGATTTATACATGGTTCATTCTGAGCCAAAATGAGTTTTAAAAAAAATATGTAACGGTTCTTGGACAGCCCTTGAAGGACAAATTTAAGGTCCATAGCTCTAGAGAAGGTGAAGAAATGCAGACTCACGGCACACAAAACATATTTCACAACAGAAACTCTAAAGCCCAAGAGGGTTTGAAAAGATGTAGTTCAAGTGCTAAAAGAAAAGAACTGCCAGTCTAGATTACTATACCCTACAAGGCTACCCTTCAAGAACTCACGAGAAGTAGACCTTCTTGGATATATATAAACTAAAGAAATTTATAACCACTAAGCCAACATTGCAGAAAATACTCAAGGGAATCCTAAACACAGAGAAAAATACAATCACATACATGAGATCAAGAAAAAGAATAAATCTCATTGGGAGAGTAGATAAAGGAACCAGAATCAGGAATGAATCAAACACTGGAAAAACAACAAAGTGACAGGAATTAGTACATACTTTTCAGCAATAACATGTAATGTAAATGATCTTAATTATTCAATTAAAAGACAGAGACAGGTTGATTAGATAAAAAAAATAAGACTCAACTATATATTGCCTGTAAGAAACACAGCTCACCTATAAGGACATACATAGACTAAAAATGAATGGATGACAAATAAAATTCTAAGCAATTGGAATCTGAAAGCAAGCAGGAATAGCTATCCTTACATCTGCCAAGGTAGATTTCAAGCTAAAATTGATCAGAAGAGATAAAGAAAACAAAACAAGAAAAAAACACAAAACGATTCACCAAGAAGAGATAACGTTATTATATACGCACCAAACAGTAGGCCTAACTTAATAAAACAAGAACCATAATTTCTTCAAATTCGTAAAAGCCATATGTGACAACCAATATCATAATGAATGGGGAAAAACTGAAAACATTTTTATCTAAAATCAAGAATTGATTCAAGAATTTTAGATAAAATGAGGGTGTGCACTTTAGCCAAGAAAATTAGACAAAAGAAGAAAAATAAAGTAATACAAGTAGGAAAGGAAGAAGTTGAATTACCCCTAC